TATCGACTCTCATGTCCATGAGATAATAGCACATGATATTGACTCTCATGTCCATGAGATAATAGCACATGACATTGACTCTCATGTCCATGAGATAATAGCACATGACATTGACTCTCATGTCCATGAGATAACGCATGGTATCGACTCATGTCCCTGAGATAATAACACACAATATCGACTCTCTTGTCCATGAGATAATAACACATGACATCGACTCTCATGTCCACGAGATAATAACACATGACATCGACTCTCATGTCCACGAGATAATAACACATGACATCGACTCTCATGTCCATGAGATAATAACACATGGTATCGACTCTCATGTCCATGAGATAGCAACTTGCAGCCAAGAGTTTCATGTGCACAAGAAAATAAATTGTGGGCACGGGTCTCATGTCAACGAGATAATGCAGGCCACTAGTCTCATGTCCATGATACAATATCGCATGGCCATGAGTCAGGAATCTCATGTCCACAATATAATGTGTGGTCACAAATGCCATATCCATGACATAACGCATGGCCATGGGAGTCCTGTCCACGAAATAACCTGTGGCCATGAGTCTCATGYCCATGAGATAACACATGGCTATAAGTCTCATGTCCACAAGATAAGTTGTGGGCATGATACTAAGATGAGAAGCGCCTTTTTTGACTCCAGTAGTCACCTGTGTCTTATAGCTGCAGCATATAACGCAGAGTACTGCTCCATGTCTGACTGCAAGTGATTGAAGTATGTTGTTGTAATTTTATCCTATAAAAGTTAATTAAAACTTGTYCATGTTAACAATCAACAGTCTGTATGGAAATGACTGCAAAAATTATCTTGTGTCCACAAGATTTTTTAAATGATGTCACTGGATGGGCTCCATAGATTACATTGTGGGAGCGTCATCAAAGTCCAAGGTTTGAAGATAATTTAGTGTCAGAAACAGACAGATGGACATAATCCTTGTACGTCTTTTGGACTCTTCAGTTACAGTAGAAAACTGAGACTGGTGCATATTTTTACTGTCGATCAGTGTTCGGTTTTTTTAACCTAAGAACTCACAAAAACACAACAACCCCGCCGAACATTAAAACAATGACAAACAGAGACCAGTAAGATTTTTTGAGAGTAAACAAAAACTACTGAGCATATTTTCTTTACATTTGCAGATAAGCTTTCGTCTGGGCAAAAAAAAAAAAAAAAGATTTGGCTCCAGATGTTTAAAATCACTTTTTTAAGTCAAGAGGAAGACAGAAGCTGTGTTCTCCGAGATTAGTTCCACTCACTTAGTCAGATTTATTTTACAAAGAAAGCAGACCGCTGTAGATCTTATACTTAGTTTATCACTGCAGAAAAAGACACAAATACAACTGTTTATAGATATTTAATTCCTTCTTAAAAACATTTTAAAATACCAATCATGCAGCATTCTTAAACATATCAGTTAACTGATTTAAAAGCATAAAAACTAATGCAAAAACTGGGGCTTCTGTTTTATTAATATTATTTATACAGCAAACTCATCTAGCATCAAATTTAAATGTTATATCACAAACAAACAACAAAAAGACTGTAGTGTTTATTTAGATAAAGACAAGCTCATTTTATTATCTAGATGTCCCAGAAACGTGTGATGAACAGACAAGTAACCCAACATGCCAGATGGTTTGTTACACACAACCATCTGGAAAGATCTCAGCAGAAACGGTTTGCTTGGCAGATATTTATGTACTTATTTAGAGTGAATCAAACATTTATCACTGTCATACGCAAACATCCAACAATCAGCTCAACGGAGCGCTCAGTGACCGAGTATACAGTAATATATTTATAATACTGTTCTAAATGTGTGTTTTGACCCCATATGAAACTTGAGATGAATTTTCTCATAAATTTGGAAAGSTAAGCAGAGTCCCAGCAGCTGTTTAACAACATCATTAAGGCTAAATTTTAAACAGTCATTAAATTTGCAGATTACTGAAATTAAAGTTTTTAAAGGAACTTGTGTCCCTGATGATAAATAAAGCTGAGGTCAGATGAGCAGAAATAACTGAAGCATGGGAAATTAGTTTGAATTACTAATGCATGAGGGAACAGGTGATCAGTTTTTTTCTAAGAATGCTTAATTCAGCAAACGTGCTGTTTTTGTCTTAGTGCTAATTTTAGTTTTTTCAGCTACTTAGCGAACTGAGAAATTTGACAGAAAATCGTAATTTTTTTCACTTGTTTTCTTGTTTTTTCTGCCAATGGGAGCTGTTTGACTCTGTTCACCATCTGTCACCTAGTTTCAACTTGTTTCTGCTGCTGCCTACTTTTGTTTTCATCCTTTCAGCAAAAGTCAGCTGTTTTTATCTCTAACAGTTTTTGCCGTCAAATATTTTCAGCAGCTTTCAGAAAACTAAAATTCAGCATGAAGCATTCACTGCATTTTAGCAGGAAATCTCCAGTTATTTAAGTTTCAAAGTGCAGAAAGAAAGAGTGACTGATTTAGAAAAATAAAATAAAAAGTGGAAGCTCTGAAAATAGAGTGTGACCAATGAAAACCTGCGGAGGGCAAGAAGGAGGGTGAGGGGTGGTTTTAGTGTATGATCCTACATGACACAGAGGTCCTTACTGGGTGGAGGGTAGGTGCTGACACCCCTCCCAGCGGGGGTTTGTAACTGGCCGAGAGGGAAGTTAGAATTTCTCTGGGGGTTACACACCACGGCCGCCCTCGCCTCCACTGAACTCCACTACGCTCCCTGCTCAGAATCGATCAGAGCTGCTCTTGGTGCTCCAAGACGCCAAACTCCCCCACCCCACCCCCATCAGAAAACTTTTTCATTAGCTACAAAGTCAACACACCGGACGAGGGCGTTCCCCTCACTGCGCACCACTTCTTTAGGCGCTCACAAGGACAATAATCAGGGTGACGGGGTCGCGCTTAATTGTTACCTTGCAGAGGCTGCTCAGAGATGTGCTATTGATTTTAATTCAGCTGCTGGATTTCTCTATCCAATTATCAAACTTATCTAACACACACACACACACACACACACACACACACA